GCCCCCCAAAAAAACTCAACCCCTACACAAATAACATGAGCAAATAACTCCAGAATTATCATTTGGGAGAAAATGGAAGTTTGAGTAGTAATTCCTTTTCAATGAAGTCTAAATTTATAGCTAAGCGATATTGTTATACACCTTAATATCTGTGATATTTTAAGTCATTTGCTTGAACCTGGGTGGCTAATACCATCAGAACAGAGAACACCAACAAAATCCTGCTTTTCTCTAATGCTTAACCACCAGCTAAGTTCGGCTGAGTAGAGCATGACGCAAACTGAGTCAATGTAACCTGATTCAGGCAGTTGTGACAAGGGAAGGTGGGCTCTGAAATGACACAATTCATATCTGGTGCCATCGCTCACTTGCGGGTGAACTCAAGGATGTCATTTCACTCCTAGGGCTCCAGTGCTTCAACTGTGGAGCAACAATAAAAAAGACTCGCTTTATAAACTTTAACTCTTTCAGTTGGTTGTGAGGATTAAACGAGACAGTTATCTAGCAGACAGACGAGGACACATACGGCCTCCTATTCTCCTACCTCAGAAAGTAGTAATTATTATTGATACTTTATTGTTTCTTGCTTTAAAGCTACTATAGCTAGGTTTTCAGAAACAGAAAAGCAAGCATGTTGCTGCTTACACCTAAAAATAGAATCCCTAGATCTGAGTCACATATGATCAGTTCCTTTTCCTTTTTTTTTTTTTGGTTGTTTGTTTTGTTTTGGAGAAGGGTCCACGCGCAGTTCAGGAGTTCAGGCTGGCTTTGAACTCATTATGTAACCCAGCGTGGCCTCAAGCTTGGGCAACCCTCCTGCCTCAGTCTCCAAGTACTAGGATTACAGGTATGTGTAGTCCTAGGAACATGCCCCGGCTATGTTCCTTTTCATTTAGCTGTAATTTTGACCTTTGATGTTTACAACATTGTGCCAAGTGCTGTTGATTTTGCTGTGTTGTTTGTAATGGCAAAAGGCATCTAAACAAAAAGAGCCTGCAGCTCCTACTGACCTAGTGCCTCAGGTAAAAAAGCTGTGTGATAGTGCTCAGGTCCTGACCCAGAGATGCCCAGCAACCCAGGACTCAAAGTTAACTGCAAATTATCTCCATCTTCTCAGTCTGTGTGAATTGGTATTGCCCATGTTGCAGGCAGAGTTGCAACTGGCCATGCATAGATAAAACCCAGTCCCTTCCCTCAGGGAGTTTCCATTGCACTGGCAGGAGCTGTGAGAACAACTGTAGGATGCACGAACACAGGACAAGGGTGGTGTGGACATGCCAGGCATCCAGCCCAGCCAGAGGGATACAGGTGGGCCAGAAGAATCTCCCTGGCAAGCTGCCTACTTAACGTGTTGAAGGAGACCCGTGGCACTGATGCAGTTGAGAAATAAGGTGGGCATGCGCTCAGAAGGAGCTGTGTGTGGAGAGAAGGGATTCTGTTGCAGAGGGAAAGGCCTGTGTTCCACTGGGGGACTGGCTGGATGTGGCGCTCTTGACCTGAAGGAAGGGCAGGTCTGGAGAGGAAGGTGTTTCGTGTGATCTCAGACACTGAGTCTGACTCTGCAGTGCCCAGTTTCTAGGTGGGCACGAGATTATTTTGTTTTGTTTTCTTTTTTTTTTTGGTCTTTTTCGTTTTTATCGGTACCAGGGATCGAACTCACAACTGCCTGCTTGTAAGGCAGGCGCTTATGCCGCTGAGCTAAATCCCCAGCCCCTGGCACGAGATTATTTTAAAGGTGAGTCGGACTACAACGTTCCTGTGCTGGCTACTAGGCCACCCCTGTGGCCACACAAAAAGCGGGCTAGGTACCCTCGGCAGGTGGGGAACAGACTTGCTCAAGGTTGTTCACTGAGGTCTTACAGAATCACCAGCTCTAGAAGCTCTGATCGCTAATCCAAAGGAAAGCTTCTAGAATGTCCTATGAAGCCAGGCTGTCTCCAGAGAAAAACCCCACACGAGGGAAAGAGAGAAGACATTGGACTAGGAAAATGGGGGCAAAGGGAAGCTAGTTAAACTGGAAACATGATTAAAGTCCACTACGAGGTTTTTAAGGTATTTTATATGATCATTCTATCATTCTCACCCTCTCAGGTCAGAATGGTTTTTGAGATTTATGGTTTCAGTCAGTGGCAAAGTTCAAAGGGAAACAGCATTCATCCTACAGAAAGATACTTGAGAGCCAAATGTAACATATATTTCAATCCCAAAGTAAGGCAGTCACACAAGTATAATTTCCTCATCTAGCTTATGCCATTTAACCATTACGATGTTTTTCAGGGACTTAGACATCTTCCTTGTGTGAATAAAGAACTCCAGGCTCAGCGGCTTCATCACATCCACAATGGTTGTGGGATTAGAAAGTGGAGGGTTCAAGAACTTGGCAAAAGGCTCATGACTATTAGAGTAAATAGTTAGCAAATAAATATTTGCAATATGCTCAGTCACTGCATAAACATGTATCTATATCCCCTAAGCAATGAATTACAGTGATATATTGTTTACAGCAGCTCTGTAGGAAAGACTCTTTTTGAGTAGGTTAAAGTGAGTCACACCAAATTAAATATTTTGTCAGTGGTGCCAAAGAAGTTAGCCGGACAGAAATTTCATATATTTTCCTTATGAATAGTATCAATACACATACCTTTCAATATCAAAAATACCCATTTCCAAATTTTTCTTGTCAAAAATAGGTAACACATACATTAAATGTCAAAGGAGTGCCTATCTGTGTATTGTCTACAGAAGGGGCAGAGCAATCACCAGAGTTCAACGTTTTCACAATGTGCTTTCCTAGAATTATTCTTATTTCTGAGGAACCAGCCTGAACTATGTAGACTACACAGTCATGTTTTTAAAGAGATCATTTTTCATATAATATAACACATAATATAATGTGTTATCTTATATTATGTGTTATAATAGAACACATAATATAAGATAATGTCCATATTTGTCATATGGAATGAAATAAAGAAAGAAGATCAAGGTCATATGAGAGAAATTTTCAGTAAATGTACAGGTTTAATCGTGTTATTAGTCTATTATGTATAGCATTGGATTTTTGAAACCATCACCTGGTATATGACCTGGTAAATATGCAGGTAGGAAAAATAAATAAATCACATTTTTTTGTTTTAGTTTATTTTCACATATATTTATAGGCTGAGCAAGCACTTAAAATCAGAACAGTTGCAGAAAATTCATACATTCTCACTGTATTAAGTATAAGTAAAGCCAATTTCAGGACTCAGTTTCAAAAAGGAACAAACAGCAGCCTAAGCTACAAATGGTGATTGACTCCCAGGGGTGCCTTTGAGAGGCTGACAATTACAGGACACCGGAGGGTTTGAATGGGGACTGGGGTTTGGGCCCTGTCACACAGCCTTAGTGCCGATGCGTGACCCTGTGCACCCTGCCAGTGACCTCCGCCCACCACCTCCGGGGGACCAATCCATCCTGCAAAGTTCCAGCTGACAGACACCAATCGAGTTAACCTCATAGCGGAAGAGCTGGCTGTCACCTCTGGGTCCCTGCTAAGGACGGCTTCTCCCCTGCTTTTTGGAGGCCAGTGAAGCTTTAACACCAAGGGTGAGGAACAGTTTGAGGATGCACAGTGTGGGAAGGGAAGCCCACGTGGTCCCCCAGGCTGCACACAGCGTGCTGAAAGGGCGGCACTTTCAGTGGGCAGGTTGACCTTGATTAGGAACTAAAAGAGTTTTCCGTTTACATATTGCCCATGTGTTTACTCATTTAAATATTGTAACTATTTGATGTTGGTCAGATTACTAATATCCCTGGGCCTTGTTTTCCTCATGTAGAAGATGGGATGTTAGGGTTGTTATGAGAATTAAATGAGATAATGTGCATAAATTTAGAACTTTGCCTGCTACATAGCACTAACATATTTTAAGCGAAAATAGGAACAGTGTCTAATCAGTGGAGTTTAAATAATATGGGGAGGAAGGCAGAATTTGTATTCTAAAATCTTTTAGCATGTAGTGAATCATTTATTAAAGGTGGAATTCTGATCTTTCAGAGATTCATACTGCAGTATTTGAGGATGAAACAATGTAATGTCCATGACTGGTTTAAAAATAATATAGTGCTGGCCCTGAATCAAGGCCAGCAGCTTTCTGACACTGTTAGTTTCAAGCAGGAGCCTAAAGAGATGTCTTTCTATGGTTTGTTGGCCATTTCAGAACTTGGGCAGTGAATGGTCAATTCATTAGAAAGAAACAGCTTCAAGCAACCCCCCACCCCGCCCCTGTGAGCAGTTGTGAGCGTGGCAGGCTGTGGCGGCCCAGGATGGGAACCACTTGCCATGCTGGGACCTGGAGCATTAGGAAACCAAGCAACCCCTCCCTGCCACCTGTTTTGTTCTGCTGAACTTCAATATACATGAAAGTATGGACAGCTATTTTGAAGAGAGCAAGAGACTCTACGACAGCCATTGGTGACTTCCCTATTGTCTGGGTTTGAAGACCTAAAACACTTTCCTCATTCTGTTCAGATCAGTTTTATACTATGTTGTTTTGTATAAATTCTCTGTATGTGAAAACATGGACAACTATTTCGAAAAAAATAGGAGACGATATTATAGATAGTGAAGATCTCAGGTTGTCTAGCTTTGAAATTTATATCTCTTACATTGCTTTCTTATGTCTTATTTTGTTCTGTTTTGTTGTGTTTAATTTACCCCCCTTTAAAATAAAAATAATGTAGTGGTGAAGGGAAGGAGGGTACACACAAGCAGGAGTGGCTACTTGCTAGTCACTGTTGAAGATGACCCACATTACTTTTGTATATATTCAAATTCATACTTTAAGCTAACAAATAATAATAAAGTTGAAATTTGTAGCTACTCTGCTGCTATGTAAATTCTTAGGTGGAGATTGAGTGTCCAATTTTCTTTTCAAACCAGGCAAGCATGAACTGTCAACCTAATGCAGAATCTCGTTGCTACGGCAACTCTTCATGCATTAAATGATTATAGTGTCAAAATGGCTGCGGGTGTTTTTGTCCAGGAGATGGTATGTGTGTAAGAGAGAGAAAACCACCCCGAAGACCCCAACCAATACTCCTGCACCCTGAAAGAGTCTGTTCCCTGCCCACCATCTATGCAGAAGTGTAGATTCCCCCAGAGTTCTGAAGATTTGGGGCTGAAGAAGCTCAGGGACAGACTTCTGAAGGAAGCCACCTAAAGTCAGGATTCTCCTCCGGTTGGCTAGATCACACTGCCCAGTGAGGGCAGCTGGTGGACAAGCATCAAGGTCCTCTTATCAGGGAGACAAAACCTCAATGAACATCTGTTCCTTTCCTTTGATGCCTTTTCCCAATATATGCAACCATTTAAAGACAAAGAACAGTCTCCAGCCCCACTTGGGGCACATGAGCCTGTGTTTTTGTTTTTAGCAATACAAGAAAACCATCCCATGATGGGGATCTCTGGGCATCAAAAAGTCCATCTACCTGTCTTCAGAGACACTTTGTCTAAATCCTTCCATACGGGGACTCGGAAGGGAACGCGAGGCTGAAGGACCCTGAGCAGGAGCAGAGGTGTGAAGGCCAGCACACTGTGCATGCGCTTCTCATTTGCTCACTTGTGGGGTTGTTTCTGGCCCCCACTCGGGACTGGGTTGCTATAACATCCTGGGAAAGTCATTTAACCTCTGTGTGTTCATTTCTGTTTTAAAGTTCTTCCCACAAGGATGTGGAGAGAATAAAGAACACAAAATACGAGGATGTGGCTGGGAGAATAAGGGTGATTGTTCCTCATGTGCCTGGGAGGGAACCATAAAGTCACCTGAATGATTGGTCCACTCCCTGGTCTTTCCCTCCTCCTTCTTTTCATTAAACTCTCGACACTGGCCTGAGATTTGTTTTTTTCTGACATTTACTATGAAGACTATCTCCTTACAGTTCCAACAATTAACTTATTTTTAAGACGTCCTCAGTAGGCACCTGGCATACCGTACCATGGGTCCAGTTCTTCATCAGATCCCCTAACAGTGCCCATCACACGGACCCACTGTCCTTTCCTCCAATCTCCCTCCAGCCAACCAAATTCAACACCTTATCGATGCGAAGTCTGTATGATTCAGAAAAGTGTCTGTGCAGCACACCCAGCAAACTGACTCCCTGCAATTCACTACCCAGTCAAGAAGCTGTCTCCATAAGGGAAGTGATGAAATGTTTACTTTGCCTGAGTCAATGGTAGAGTTGTTTGTTTGCTTTTTTTGTGTGTTCTCCTGACACTTAGAGCTGGCTACAAGAAGCCTCAGCATCCTTCTTGGCGTCAAAGATTCAAAACATTTTTAAAGTGATGGAAAATCTGTGCTGGCGTGTATTTTAATGTGCGTCAATGGTTTAAGACACATTGCTTTTCATTAGTCCACTTCTGTTTTCTGGTATTTATTCTTCCAGGTATAAGTGCTGACAAGAGTAATCAGGCCTACTCAAGTGGGGGGGGGGGTCATTTGAAAACAGTAATACAAAACCCTGTCTTTGGTTTTCAAAATGCTTGGTTCATAAATCCGTGGAGCTTCTGGCTCTGGGAAGCTGAAGCATATTTCTCCTCTGAGAGTAGAGGCCCCTGAGCAGACAAGCAGCTGAGGTGTCAGGAGTGCTTGGTGAGGAGACTACGTGCCGGGCAGGGGAATCTCAGGTGAATCTAAAGAGTTTGTGACAAAGATTTCTATCTTTTAGTAATATTTGCTAACATCGTTTTTAAACGGGGGTGAAAAGTTGAGATTCGTGCAAAACTTTGCAAACTCCCATATGAAAAAGCACATGAAATCTTTGCATTAAAAGCCTGCACTAGATTTATCCCTTCCTATTTAATGGAAGAAGCTCACTCTAATTATTACAAGCAAGGGCACCAAAGGCTGACGGACATGGGATTTGGGTCCCAGACGTTTTTCCTCTAGAGGAGACCCAGGGTTAGCCACTGGGCCTCAACTTTTCCAGCTATAAAGTGGAGATGATCATGGAGTGCTTGTGTAACAAGGATGTCCCCAGGACTAAACTAATTGGTCTGTGTTAAAGGTTAGTTGTTAGTCACAGTGCCTGATCTTGGTCCCTGGTAAACATTCACTGTTCCTGCGGGTATTGTTATAGTCGATGTTATTGTTGGTGTTGTTCTTGCCACTGCCTCTATCATGCTGGGATTAATCATGAGTCCATGGAGACAAAACAAGAAAACAGTGCTCACCATGCTTTTATTAGAAACTCCAGTATTAAAAAGCAAAGATCACAATGCCCGGCACACAACGCTTGCTTCAAGTCACTTATCTCCCCTTTAATTTTCTCCCTTTGCCTCAGTCTCCTGCTGTCCAAAGGGCACACTGGATTGGATATTCTTTCCTTGTGTTCCTCTTTACTACTTTAAGCATTTTTCAAAATTTTAAAAGTCCATATAGCTTTGTGGGTTTGGGGTTTTTTGTTTTTGTTTTTGTTTCATTTTGACCTTTGCATATCCAGGAGTCCTGAGCTGATTAACTAGTCACCATTCTACCTTTTGGAGGACTTCTTCCACCTCTAGAAACAGATCACACCCCATGAGCTTCCCACCTTCCCACTTTACTACATTTCACAGCAAGTGTGCAAGATCCAGGGTCTGAGCCACAGATCTCATGGGCTGCCCCTGCTTCCCTTCCTCCTTAGCTGCTTCTCTGACCAACAGAACAGGTTCTGCTCGTTGAAAGGGTTCTTGACAGCAGGAGGAATCCTCGGACTATTTTAAGTATTTTGAAGCATTTAACTATAGATGGCTCTACCTAAAATACCACACGCTTTTTCGTTTATGGCTAGAAGTATGGCTGCTCTTTAGGGCTGGTCAGATGCACTATGTCTAATTAAAGTGAAGAAACATTTATGACTTCATTTGCCAGGAAGAGGATTGAAGAGAATGTACAGAGCTTGGTGACAAAAGGCCACCAAGTCTATTTCACGTTATCATATTTTCATAAAAATCAACCAAAGAGACAAAACAGGAAACACCAGAATGGGAGGTTATTATGAGCATTTAAGTTCTAACGCCTAGTTCACCTGAGCCCAAAAGTCTGGTTTCTCTTAGGCTGGGGGGATTGCTTTGTTTCACCGTTGAAATATACTCTGCTTTCAATAGCAGCATGTCCCGAAGCCCATTTTTCATTTTTGACCACCTGGTGGTAGACAGCAGAAATATCAGGAGTATTTCCTGGCTCTTTCCAACTGTCCTTCCAACACACGTCCCTGCCAGCCTCTCGGCGGTAAGCTCAGGCTGTCTGTGTTTCCCTAGTCTTTTCTCATGGCTTCCCATTCAGGCCAAACAGGAACTTTGGGTTCCTCTGTATTTTTTGCCATGCATGTGATCGAACCCAGGGCCTCAAACGTGCTAAGTGAACACTACCCCTGAACCACATACCCAGTGCTGGAACTAAAAAATAACTTTATTATGTCTTTATACTTTTATGATTACATTCACCATATTGTTTGATGAGCCTTAGGCCTCTTTGCTACCACAGAGGTATGGGTATTCTGGAGAGACTATTGTACTCCTGGGCCAAGGAGATGACTATTTCCAATTTTGTGCTTTTCGGCTTTATTAACACTCATTCTGATACTGCTGTCTTCTCCTCTAGATTGACCATATTAATAAGTAAAGCAATCCATTTAAGAGTGATCCTGTGTCAGCATGTTTCTAGATGTCACCCAGCCATACAGGACAATATTAGTTTCCTGGACTATTTAATGGGTGAAAAATCATCATATTCTAGTTTCGGTTTACATCCTTTCAATAACTATTAAGAATTTAATAGTTCTCTAGATTTTTCAACAAGTAATCTTAGGGCAATGGATAAACTTATAAAATCTTCATACAGTGGAGCACACTCATCCTTGAAAGTGTACAGAATTTTTGAGTGTCTCTGGCTTGGGGAAAATGCTGTGGTAGCATTAGTAGACAATTGCATTTAATTATGAAGCTAATTTTTTTATATCACACAACCTAGCAATTTCAATGATAAAGTACTGTGATTACACAAAGCATTTTTAAAAATAATAAATCTCCATTGAATACATTTGTGAATCACATTAAGATTCAATTTTATCTCCCTAGAGTAATAGCAAGTAATATGGACAGCTTAGCTATGTTAAAATGTATTAAATGTACATTGACTTTGTATTGTCAGAAATAATACTGACTTTCTGTAGTGCCTATCACGAACTTTGCTTGACTCTTGACCCATACATTTCTAATCCTAGAAGCTTTGTATGGCATTTTTATTTTCATTATATGCTCTCTTAACTCCCTGATAGACACTTGCTGTTCTTTGCTTCCCACTGCTCCCCTCTGGGGACAATGCGCACCAAAGCCGGGCAAAGCTTAGGGAGTGGGGAAGGGATTCCCCAAGTGCGGGCTGAGGAGGCCACTCTGTCACTTCCAAGTTCTCTCACCAGATTCCTGGCTCTGCTACTACCAGGGCCAGCAAACTCCATTGGAAGCCAGAAAGCTAGTTTGTCGGCAACATGAGGTAATAATTGTCAAACACAACTTTATTCCATGTTTGGTGTGATTGTGACACACTGTAAGTTTCCCTGGGACTGCAGCAAGAAATCTGAGTAGCTGCTACTCTTTCGTTTGTTCTTGAAATACATTTTACAAGCATGTGCCTCCTAAGAGTGTGCTGAATGCCAGAAATCTGCTCGAGATATACATGGAAAAAGAAAAAAGAAAGCACAAGGAAAACTAGAAAAGGATGTAAAAACCTTGAATGATCAACTACATGACACAGAAAACCCTTGTCAGGGAGGACCAGCAGCACAGGGGATGGAGAGACTTCTTAGGGCTGCCTGGGGAAGAGGAAGCAGAATCACAGCAGCGCAAAAGCAGAGTGACCTGCACCCAGCCAGGGACTGCCTTGAAGTTCAGGGCTTTGTCTTTCGGCTCTGAACAGCTTCTTGTACAATGCTTGAAAGAGGCACCAGAAATAATTTGGGGGACATGGAACTGGGCCTGAACCTGGAGCCTTGCACTGAGATACACCCCCAG